AGCACTGACTCTTTGTCCAATGAAAGCTCACTTTCTGGTTCATAAACAGCACCTTTAGCTGTACCCTCACATGGTACAGCTAAAGACCTTATTGGGGTCTTTTTTATAAGAGCACTAATCCCTTTCATGAGGGCTCTGCTCTCATGACCTAATCACCTCCCAAAGGCCCCACCTCCTAATACCATCACCGTGGGGGTTAGGACTCCAACATAGGAATTTTAGGGGAACACAACATTCAGACCACAGAGATTCTCTTCACACCGCAAGTGTGAGAGGAAGAGAAGGAGGATGCTGCATAACTGTTGAATGCTAGGAAACTACAGCAGTAGACCTACCAGCTTATAGTAATCATATTATAATTAGAAATAGAAATATTGATAAGTAAAGTAGGTATCCAGTAAGATGACTATACACGGTAACAGGGGTATGTGTAATAGCAGATCTTGACCAAAGGTATTAAATGTTGAACCACAAAGAAATATTACTGTTAATATAGTGTAAGAAAAAGACCATGCTATTTTTTAGTTGTACTTTATTATAAAGTCAATAATATAAGTACACATAGGTTTTAATAATAACAAACCTTGTATTATTTTCAAATGCAAAGGGCACAGAATTGAAATATCTTATTTCCTCCATTCTTCCTCCTATAAAGATAAAGATCTCCTGAGGAAAACCACATTATTTTTTTATAATTGTTTAAGGCCAGAACATACACAGAAGCACTGAACTTACTATATAAATCAAGAAAGAGGGTCAGTTATGAAAACACTTTAAGAATTTTTTTAATTGTGTAAAGTCTAGAATCCCAAATTACAGGTGATAGTAGGTAAATTTAGAAGTATTTTGATGGATATAGGAAGGAAAGGAAATTGCATTTCCTTTAAGCAAATGTAGTTGCCGCCTCTGTGTTCTCAGCACCATGTCCATTGCTCTGCCGTACCACTTAGCACGTAGCAGTAATTTCTTGTTGACCTCCAAAAATTCAGACCCCCCAAGAGCGGGGCAGTGTTTTTGTATTCCCAGAGGCTGCTGTAGTGCACTCCTCTAAGAGTCATGAAAGGATAGGGATGAGACTTAAAATTGTGAGTTTTAAACGTATTAGTTAGGTTAGAGCTAAGTTTTAAACATACAAAGTTAAATTAGTACAAGGAAGAGAAAATGACTAAGTGAAGAAATACAGTTACCTAATTGCAACATCATTCTCTAACCATGGCCTCTATGAAAATGATTTAGAAACCTTTGAACTGTTAGAAGCATAGAGCTTGAAGGAGTTTCAGAAATCATCTAGTATAACCTATTTTACAGGGAAATAATCTGTACAGTCTTACACAAATAGGTATTTGTGGAGGGCTGGGGAAGGGAAAGAATGCAAGACCTTGATCGCAGCTTGTTTGTAGTTTGTGGTATCTGAGAAGCTAGGTCTTTATGAATATTTCTGCAGATTTTTTTTATGGCTGTCTTCACAGAACTAGAGGTGCTAAAGGTAAAGTAGGGTGTTAATTTGCCTCCTTGAAATCCAGTCAGATGGCTTTCGTATAGAAAATTCCCTTTAGACAACAGAAACAAGTATTCATAATTGTTTGGGGTTTATTTTTGTCATGTGCATCCGTTTAGGCCATTTTAATCTTTTCTGAAAGGCATCCTTAATGCCTGGAAAAATAAACAGATAAATATGCAGGCAATTGCCTTTGGTTATTTTTTACTAGTTAAATAAATTCCTTTTTTAAAAAAGGAAAATAATACATGATTAGCACAGCATAAAACTTAGAAAATACAGTTTGGCAAAAAGAGTAAGGTAAATACCCAAACCCTACCGTCCCTTATAACTGTTGCTTATATCAGCCTCTGTGCTTCTAACGCATACTCACCCACTCAGGGCTTGAGGTGAAATTGTAGTTGTGTATCTGGCAAGTACAAAAACATAGGGAGTCAGAAAATGCCATTAAATAATTAAACCCAGTTTTACTTTCCATTCATAGTAGCAAAAACCAATGAAATGTTAAGAGGACAATTTTGAAAAGCAAATCAGGGAAAGATCATGGAACGGGATTTTTATGTGTTGATTCATCCATCGCTGACCCATCTACTAAAGTTAAACCTCCAGTCCATTGAGCACTCTTCTTTTACAGCTTCAAAGTTTCTCTTTGTTCTTTAAACAATCTTTTATTTGAGGTAAATAAATGTTCTGAGTGCTATGAAAAGTCCAAACTATATACTGAACAATAGTAGTCAAACCCACAGAAATCTAAGTGTAGACACAGCTACACTTCCATCTGAAAACAGTAATTGGTACTAAGGAACCTGCATCACAGCAAGGGTGGGCTGTAAGCAGGTCTTCTCCCTCAATTACATCCCCTGGTTCTTACCACCATCAAGGTCTGCAGGGAGAGAGCCCCAGTTATCATTGAGCTGTTCTTCACTTAGAACATGTGAATGAAGTAGTACATGAATATAAAGATCAGAGACCTAAATTTTTTTGTAGGCGCTGTTTCAAATTCATGCTTCATGAAACCAAGGTTGGTAACTAAAAAAGAAAGTGATCATCATTTTGTATATTCATTTTATTGCTTTCTAAATGTTTTTCTTCCAATTAATAATATATTATGAACAATTTTCTATCATGATAATTATACATCTGTACATAATTTTAGTGGCTGAATTCTCTTTCTTTAAATGAATACACCATAATTTAAACAACTATTGTTGCATAATTCCACTATTATATGTTTTTCAGTATTTTAAGGAACACTTCAGTACACATCTGGCTACACTTACTCAGTTTGTTCCGTGGGAACAAATATCTTGAGGTACAGTGGGATAGTTGAACAAGCAATAAAAGAAACATCACTTTCTAATTTGCCTTTTTCCTCTTATTTCTTCCTTAATTAGTGGTGAAGTTGAATATATAGTTCTCCTTTTTGTGAATTTTCTGTAATGGTCATTTGCCCATTTTTCTGTTGGATTATTCATTTTTAATTGATTTTATGGGGACTCTTTGAATATTAACTCCTATCACTTTTTTGTGAGCAGTTTTATTGAGGTATAATTGACATATAATAAACTGCATATATTTTAACTGTACACCCTGATAAGTCAAGACATATTTATATACTTGTGAGACTATCACCTCAGTCAAGATAGTGAACACATCCATCAGCCCCCAGAGTTACTTTGTACTCCTTGGTCATCTCTCCCTACCTCCCCCTCCTGCCAGACAAACACTATGAATTAATTAATTTTCATTCCCTAGAATTGTATATGAGTGCAGCAGTATATACCACATACTTTTTTTGATCTGTCTTCTTTCACTCATAATTACTTTGAAGTTAATCTGTGTTTTCGAGTTTATCAATAGTTCCTTTTTATTTCTGAGTATTATTTTATTGTATTGATATATCACAGTTTGTTTTTCCATTCACCTGTTGATGGGCATTTGGGTTTTATCCAGTTTTTAGCTATTACAAATAAAGATGCTGTGAATATTCATTTACAAGTGTTTGTATAAACATATGCTTTTATTTCTCTTGAATAAATACCTAAAAATAGAAGAGCTGGATCCCAGCGCAGACATATGTTTAAGAAGCTTCCAGACTGTTCTCTAAAGTGGTTGTGCTGCTTAACCTTCCCACCACTAGTCTGTATTTCAGTATCTCCGTATCCTTGCTAAGTTTGAAATGGCCAGTCTTTTAAATTTTAGCCCTTGTAATAGGTATGCTGTGCTATTTCACTGTGGTTTTAATTTGCTTATCGTTAATGACTAATGATGTTAAGCACCTTTTCATGTGCTTATTTACCATCCATGTATCTTCTTCACTGAATCATGTGTTCAGATCTCTTGCCCATTTGTAAAACTGGCTTGTTTGCTTTCTGATTATTGAATTTTGAGAGTTAGGTTTCTTATATACAAGTGATGCTCTATTAGGTATATGATTTGCAAATATTTCTCCCAGCCTTTGGCTTTTCTCCTAATTGTCTTAAGAGTTTGAAAGAACAGACATTTGAAATTTTTATGAAGTCCAAAATTGTCAATTTTTTCTTTTATGGATTTTTAAATTATATAATTGTATAATCAAGAAAATACTATTTTAAATGATTACTTTTTATTTGTTCTCCTTTGTACCTACAGGCATTTAAAAATTTTCAAATTCATTTATTTAAATGATCAAATGAGATAATGTATGTGAAAGCATCCTAAACATCATAAAGTACAGTACAGGTGCTAATACCCTTGTTGTCGTCGTCACCATCATCATCAAAAACATTCACCCTTTGAGCCATCTATTCCACTCTGGGGTATTAAATCCAAAGAAAGGATTCTTTTAAAAAATAAATTATGAAAGTACTTACGCATAGCCTATAATGAGGGAAAACAGAAAACGTTGTAAATATTTAGCAATAGGAGAATACATAAATAAACTATGGCGCTTCCTGAGATGAGACATTGTAAAGCATTTATAAATGGTAATTACATAGTTGTAGAAATATGCAAAAACTTACATTTAAATTGAAAAACTGTTCAATTGTGTTTACACTATGATATCTTACATAAAATGTATATATGAATAAAGATAGAGGTATGAAGATATGAAAACAGTTGTTTTAAGGAAATGGGTTTGTGAATAATTATAGTTTTTGTGTTTTCTTTATTATATTATGCCTTTGATTTTTTATATTGTGTTTTCTGTATGCACCTCTTCAAAGTTAGAGTCCCCTTCCGATTTGTTATGTTTACCAGACCAAGATACTGCATGGCCTTCAAGGCTCAATTATACTACCTGACATGAAGTTATCTATGAAATTATTATATTTCCTTTTTTATGGTTTACAGTATTTAATAATTTCACATTTTGTTCATCGTGTTGTATTATTATTACCCAGTGTTTAAAATGTATTATGTACTTTCTGATCATTCCTTTAATGCTACAATTTCATGGCTTAATTATTTCATTATGCTTTTGCTGTGATGATTTGAACTAATTATGGACTAATTTTTCCAGTTGCCCAGCAGGAGGCTGAAATGTTCAAACGCTACAATGGAACCTTTCCATTACCTGGAATACACCAAAATCAAGATGCTTTATGCATCTGCCCTAGACTGCCTCATCAGGGCTCTTTTCAGATTGATGACTATGTCCACACTGAAAATTCTTCAATGAAGATGCAGCAAGTGAAACAGAGGATTGATTCTGTCACAGTATGTTTACTTATTTTATGCAGTTGAGAAGTTGGAAACTTTAAAACCATTTCAGTTCTGTTTTACATTGCCATGCCAATAAATATTAACTGAACGAAGTAGTTACTTAAAACTAGGCTTTCTTATACTTTTATAGTTCCTTTCTGGTGCTTGTTCTAAAATCACTTAACTGCAGTAAACAAACTGAACTTAGGATAATCTATTAGGCTTTCCAGACTTGATATCTCTGTAAAGATCAGCCCAGGACTTGTTTCTCTATTTTAAAATATATGTGTGTATATGTGTGTATATGCATATATACAACATGCAGACACGCACACACAGCAAATACCAACCTGGGAAAATGTCTACATAAAATATATAAATGGAACAGCCTTCTTAATATGCAAGAACTAAAAAATAAAGAAAATAGTGAGACTTGAACAAAGAAATGGATAAAAGAAATAAACATGTACTTTCAAAAAGAGTAGGTACAAATGTCTCATAAGCGTATTTTAAAGTTCTGTCTCACTTCAGAGAAAAGTAGTGCCACAGAAACCAGATATTGCCTGTAAAACTGGAAAATAGATGCTGAAAATCAGGAGGAGGATGCTTGGTTAAAAGTCGTGTGGTATTCTGTTGGTGATAAATTACTATACAGTGTTTCTCAAAGATAAGTGGTAAAATGTATTGAGAAGCTTGAACATCCTTAAAAGTACTTAGGCTCTTTGACCCTAATAGTTCTTTTAGTGAGAATTAGCCTGAGCACGTTGAAGAGAGGGACTTTGCGGGCTTGTTGTGTTCCCCCTTGTGGCACAGTGCCTGGCATTTAATAAATATCATCCTTTCCCCTCCTCCTTTGATAGGGATATTGACCAGTTTTAAACCCAACATAGGAGGAACTACAGTGAGACATCTTTTAGTTCTGACTGTACTTTCTTCCTCTCTCCTTTCCTTTCTTTAGAAAGTTAGAGAGTGTGGGGTATACAAGAGTGCAGATCACTCAGACAACGGGTTCAGCTTTAGTTGGAATATGGGGGAAATTTTTTTATATTTATCAGTATAAATTTTGGAATAATATGACTATAAATTAATATTTCAGTGTTGTAAGACTTTATATTTTAACATTTTAAAATAATTGAATAATGAATGTGTTCCAGATTTTAAAAGGAAGTATGAATAGATAAATGGAGTTCTAAAAATTAGAGAAAAATATTTATTTGCTAGGAAAAACAAATGGCCCTTGTCTAAAGCCTTGCATTGCAAAATGATTTCATCTACAGGCTAAAGAGCAACTCACAGATAGATATATAAAAACAAGTTTCCTACAATCTGTCAATCTTTACACTGTGAAGCTTAACATCCTGGAATCACCTTGGGCTTGTAGCTTTTCTCCTGCATCATCTTTTATAGCTGTCATCCTCAGATAAATGAAAGGAAAGTAGATGTAAAAGAAAAATAAAATCAGAAAAATATTTTTTAAGATATGAAACCAAAGGAAAGGGGAAAGTAAATTGATAATTTATTATAAGAGAAAAACTTGTTTCTCATAGAATCATTGATTTATTTAGCTTTTACTAAACTTTTCCTTTTAAAAATTACGCTTTGGGATTGTGGTAGATTGAGGCTGCCTTTGGAAATGAAAGCTTTGTCTATTTGCTGTGGTTTTTGAAAAACCATATATTTCCCGTGTTAAGAGAATTCTCTGAACTTTTTTTTCAAATGCTATCTGCAGTGTATTTTCTCTGAGAATGTATGTAGCATATATGGGAATCAAAACAAAATGTCATCTTTTTTCCCACGGAAGCTCCATTCCTTTTATGTTTTGCAAGCATTTAGGTTGACTGGATTCTCACCTCTGGTCACAATGCCTTTTCTCTTGTTTCCTGAGCTGTGTTTTGGTAGACCCTAAATCCCTTTTCCTGTTAGGTTTGTTACTTAGTCTAAAAGGCTCTGTCACTGGTCTTCTATGTAGAAGTCTAATAGAGAAGACTATATTACTTCTATATTGTAGAAGACTGTATCCCTGGAGATACTCCTTTCTTTGTAACCACAAAAGGAATGCTTTTCTGATAAAATACAGTTCAAGTTTAGGGTGTGATCTGTGTGTGTGTGAATTGCATAATAAATTCAGTTCCTCAGGTATTTCATAGGTGTTTACTCATGAATGAGGAAAGGATGCCATAGACAATTTTCTGTTCTTGGTAGCTTTATCATTTACTCATAATAAAACTCTTTTAACTGTTTCGTACTTAACAGAGCCGACTTTGTGCTACTACTGCAGCAATACCTAAAAGGCTCTGCAATCCAGATAAGACCTCACAGGTAGACAGTATCTTGAGAGCAGTGACACAACTCTTTCTAAGGTTTCAAACCCAGAAATTTGGTCTTATTAGTGTATCCAGAGCTGCTCAGAATCTGGGGTACCTGGTAATAGTAAAGAGTTCCACAAAAAGTTGATTTATAAACTTAAACATCTTATAATGGAAGGTATACCTCTCCAGCTGCTTGAGCACTCAAGACCGCTTGCCCTTTTAAAAATTAACCTGATATCTGGGTCAGTGATCACAGAGCTGATTGTTAAGCAGAGTCATAGGAATAGGGATTGAATGGGTTTTTAAATGTTTTATGCCAATTTTGAAAAAAAAAAAGATTAATTTTCTCTACCCCACAGGAGATTTCACCGTATAATAATTGGTGATGATTAACATCTGTTTAATTATGAGTAGAAACTGACATAATGAATTCCTGGTACTGTGCTAAGTGTTTTACATGTTCACTGTATTTAATCCTCAAAACCATCCTATAATGTGGATGCTAGTATTATCCCCATTTCACAGAAGATGATGTTGAGGCTTGCAGAGATCAAGCAATATTGCCAAGGTCACACAGATGGAAACATTGGAGCTGAGATTCAGTCCAGGCAATCAGAATCTCATGCCCACAGTCAGTTTTACTGTCTCCTTTTAGTGATTGAAATGACTGATATCCTTTAGATGTAGTCTATGTCCCTTAGAAATTTCAGATTAAAAAAAAAGGACACTCTTCTTTTTCAGTTCTTTTTTTCTAAACTCCACATTGATTGTTACCATTTTTTCCTAGTGCTGTACTAGGCTGATGATATATGCTGGTTAACAACCTTAATTGGACTAGAATATTATTTGTGTCTCCCTAGCAGCAAATTTACAAGTCATCTATTTTGTGTTGCCTTTGACTAATTTCTTTTTCAAAAGTGACTTTTTCTTGGCCTTATCCCATGAGTTGTAGGCAGTCCCCTTCTGTAGGTCCTCCAGTCATATCCTTTACTCCTCAGAAGTGTTTACTATTAGATTTCCTCTGAAGTAAATTATTAATTTGAGAATTATATGTATGGGTATTCTTATTTATAGAGATAATTATATACTGCAGTTCAGAGTGTGTCTTTTAGATATGTTAGTGTCCCAGTACAGAATTTTAGTGTTTATGCGAAGTTTACTGAGGAGACAAATTTTTCTTGAGGCAGTTACATGTGGGCCCTCCAGAGTCTTGTTTGTCAGTGCGTTTTGCTTTGGCAAACCAAAATCATGTCATTGAGTCTCTTTAATTTATACTCTTTCCAGCTCATTGGAACAGTGCAGAGTGACACCTGCAGGTGATAGATTAAAAAACACTCTCCCAAATGTTGATTTTGGTTATTAAGAGATTAATATCTGAATGTGTTAAAAAGAGTTGATATTTTATTAAATGAAATTATGAGTATTTCTTTACTTATTTTATCCTATTTCTTTTAGGAGGTGATACGAGCCTGTGCTGCAAAGGTGAGTGGTTTTTGTTGTTGTTTTAGAATTTTATTTTTTTATACAGCAAGTTCTTATCAGTCATCCATTTTATTCATATTAGTGTATACATGTCAATTCCAATCTCCCAATTCATCCCACACCCCTCCCCCACTGCCCCCCTTGGTGTCCATACGTTTGTTCTCTACATCTGCGTCTCTTTCTGCCCTGCAAACCCGTTCATCTGTACCATTTTTCTAGGTTCCACATATATACGTTAATATACGATATTTGTTTTTCTCTTTCTGACTTACTTCACTGTGTATGACAGTCTCTAGAGTGAGTGGTTTTTATTACCAGGAAGATAACTTTAGTTTTCATTGTGATGCACCAAAGAATTGAAATGTACCGTTCATAGTTGTAATAGAACTTTTACAAAGTTCATCTGATACATATCTTCTGCATTTGAGCTCGGATTTATCAAGGAATCGTAATACTGGCACCTGAGAATTCAGCAAGTAGCTTCATGTTTCTTAAGATTTAAAAATATTAAGTGATTGGGATATACTTTCAGTAAAGGGCCAGCAAGATCATTTCCTTCTCTGAGAAGAATATTATATGATACTTTATAGGTAAGAGACAGCAATACAGTTCCAGTGGGTGAATGCTGAGTAAAGTGTATAAGCCTTGAAATGAACGTAAGCCACACATAAACGGCAATGATATATTGTGCTGATAATGCTCTGGATCATTTATACCGTGTTTCATACTTCCTTTCCCATTTAACTGTATAACAATCCTGAGAGACAGATTAGATATTATTGTTATTCCAATTTTAGAAGAGAGGAAACTGAGGCTGAGAGAGGTTAAGTGATGTATGTTGCCCAAGACCCCAAAGTTGGTCTGAAAATGGAGGTATACAAAAAGGCCCTTGATTATTAATCAATTTCAACTAAATTGTATCTGGGATGCTGTCAACACAACAGCTTTCTTCCTTCTACAAGCAAGGTTATTTTATGTACAACCTTTAACTCAATTGTCAAGAAAATAAGTTTTATTTAAAAGAGCTGGAATAACACCACATGTTCGTCCTTCCCTCTTATTTTCTTCTGTCTGTTCCCAAAATTCAGTTGAATAATTAGACATCCGTTTATTTATCAAATATGATTATATATGTCACAAAGTGAAAGGTGAGACCTCCAGAAGGGAAAGAATTAAAGTGGTATTAGTATATTCAAAGACTGCTTTATATAATGTCAGTGCAGTGGAAATACTGTTTTTACTCAGTAGTAGACACCTCCTACCATGTGGCAGGTGCTTGGAATACAGAAGTACGTTGGCTATTGTCTCGTTCCACATGGGGCATCTTATGGAGGAAATGTGTCAGAAAACACTGGGCTTATCCCATCACTGAGCTGTCCAGTATCAGTCAGGACCCATCACTTTTTTACCTAATTATCACAAGTCAACAGGAAATAGAATATAGACAAGGGGAAGGAAGATGGGGAAAAAGGAGAACAAGCTATATTCTGACTTAGGCTGCAGATGTTCAGGAAACTTGTTCCTGATAGCAATGATTGGTGTAATGATTGTAGCTCTAAGATTACTAAATCTTCTTAAGTATGTATAGAATATAAAGCTGGAGTCAAAAAAGTAGTTTATCCTCTTGATTAGCAGTTCAGAGCTATTTCTCTTTATTTTAACACATGTATTATGTACCCCTCTTTTGTGATGCTGTCTGAATGTCCAAAGAGTAAAGTATCCTGCACATATTTGGCAAAAGGCTTTATGGAGAACGTCCTCTGCTATTCTGAAAACTTCCTGAGGGTGGAGGTTCACGTCATTCATCTTTGTATTCCTAGTACTTAACAAAAGTAGAATAGTCATTGAAAATATGACATTTCTGGAAATTAATCAAGGTCTGGAAAGATTAACCTACTAGTGTATTTAGTTATTTTTTATGACAGTTTTATTGAGATATAATACACATACCATAATATCCACCCTTTTAAAGTGTACAGTTTATTGGCTTTTATTATATACACAGAGTTGTGCAACCATCACTACCATCTGGAGTTCTTTCATTCCCTCCAAAAAGAAGCCCCATATCTCTTAGCAATCATTCTCCATTTCTGGGTAGGGACATGCACACACACACACACACACACACACACACACACACACACACACAAAACACTCAAACTCCTGCTAACCACTAATATACTCTCTGTCTCTATAGATTTGCCTATTCTGGACATTTTATATAAATGGAATCATAGAATATGTGATTGATTGTTACTGGCTTCTGCAGATTAGAATAATGTTTTCATGGGTCCTCCATTTGTAGCATGTATGAGTACTACTTTTTATTGTCAAGTAAGATTCCATTGTATAAATATATTGCATGTTGTTTATCCATTCATCAGTTTACAGACATCTGTGTTGTTTATACATTTTAGCAATTAAGAAGAATGCTACTATGAACATGTGTGTACAAGTTTTTGTGTGGGCATATGTTTTTATTTCTCTGGGGTATATATCTAAGAATGGAATTGTTGGGTCATATGGTAACTCTATGTTTAACATTTTGGGAAACTACCAAACTGTTTTCCAAAGTGGCTGCACCATTTTAGAATCCCACTGGTGGTTCCAGTTCCTCCTCATCCTTGTCAACACTTACTATTTTCTGTCTTTATAGCCATCCTAGTGGGTGGGAAGTGGCATCTCATTGTGATTTTCACTTGCATTTTCTTAATGACTAAAGGTGTTGAGTATTTTTGTTGCGCTGTGTCTTCCTGGGAGAAGTGTCTATTCAACTCATTTACCTGTTCTTTAAAAAAAGAATTATTTATTTTTATTGTTCACCTTAAGAGTTCTTTATATATTCTGGATACAAGTCTCTTGTCAGATAGATGATCTGCAAATGTTTTATCCCATTTTGTGGGTTGCCCTTTTAACTTCTTGATGGTATTCTTTAAAACAAAAAGGCTTTAATTTTTATGAAATTAAGTTAATCTATTTTTTTCTTTTGTCACTTGTGCTTTTGATGTCATATATAAGAAACCATTGCCTAACCCAATGTTCCGGAGATTTACTGCTCTGTTTTCTAGGATCTTTATATTTTTAACTCATATTTAGGTCTGTGATTATTTTGAGTTATTTTTTTTTAATATGATGTGATGTAGAGGTCTAATTTTATTCCATTTGCATATGGCTGTCTAGTTGTCCCAGCACCATTTATTGAAAAGAGTATTCTTTCCTCATTGAATGGTCTTTACACTGTTGTCAAAAGACTTTACTCTTAAAAGCAGAATATATTTATGTCATTTCTCATCTGTTACATCCAGAATAATAAATTTTTACCAGGTACCTAAGTTTTTTCTTCCCTAAATCCCATCTAGATTTTTATATTGTTGAAGATTTATTCCTTTTTTTTCCATTAACAGTCTTTAAACAAATATTTATCGAATGCATACCAAGTGTGTGTGTGCGTGTGTGTGTGTGCACGTGTGTGTGTGTGTGAGAGAGAGAGACCATGTGCGCACATGGAGAATACAACAGTGAATAAGAACATTCTATTGTAGGGAGACAAATAACAAAAAAGGAAATAACATAATTTCAGCAAGAAGTGATGTGAAGAAAATAAAATAGGCCCATGGGACAAAGAATGACTGGGGGAAGTTATACTCTAAAGGATGATCATGGAAGGCCTCTCTGAGAGAAATACTTGACAAGGAGCTAGTCCTGTCCTGCAAAAGTCCTCACCTAGGAATAAAACTGGCATGCTGGAGGAGCAGAAAGAACACCACTAAGCTTAAGTGGGATAGTGAGCCAGCAAGGAGGAACAGTGTTTCCTGACAAGTTGGAGAGAAAATCAGGAGATCAGGCGTGCCTTTTAAAGGGCCTTGTAAGCATGGTAATGTAGGGGAGGAAAAACTTTACCTTCTAGTTTCTGTGGCTATTCTAAGGATTAAGTTGGCATAGACAGATTAACAGGAGAAAAAATACAATTTTAATTACATACATACATGAGCTCCATGGAGTTATGGTATTCCAAAGGCTGCCAGGTAACTGAGGCTTATATACCATCCTGAGCCTAGAAAAGGGATGGAGAGATCTGGGGCTTCAGAGGCAGAATGCAATTCAAGGGAAGGTGAGAGGAGGAACTGGTTAGTAGACAAGGTTACCCTGCCATGCAGATAAGTCTCTCAGGTGAAAAAGTTGTCCCTGATGATAGCTCTTTTCCTGGTATAGTCGATCCCCTTTCTAGTGTATTGGGTTGGTCAAAAAGTGCGTTCGGATTTTTCCATAACACCTTAGGAAAAACCTGAACAAACTTTTCTTTTTTTTGAGAAAGGCCAGTGAACCTTTTTTTTTTTTTTAACACAACTAACTAAATTTATTTTTTTATTTTTGGCTGCATTGGGTCTTTGTTGCTGTGCACAGGCTTTCTCTAGTTGCGTCGAGCAGGGGCTACTCTTCGTTGCAGTACTCGGACTTCACATTACAGTGGCTTCTCTTGCTGCGGAGCATGGCCTCTAGGTGTGCGGGTTTTAGTAGTTGTGGCATTCGGGCTCAGTAGTTGTGGCTCACGGGCTCTAGAGCACAGCCTGAGTAGTTGTGGCACACGAGCTTAGTTGCTCCGTGGCATGTGGGATCTTCCCAGACCAGGGCTCAAACCCGTGTCCCCTGCATTGGCAGGCGGATTCTTAACAACTGCACCACCAGGGAAGTTCCCCGAAAGAACTTTTTGGCCAGCCCAGTATATTTCCCTTACAAAAGGGTAACTTCCACTCTGTTTTCAGAACTCCTGTGTCTAAAGTTTCTCAAAGTAATCCTTATACCAAAGAGACATATTTTGGGGTGGCATATTCTGCTATCCTTCTTTAAGGAGTTTAGGATGTTGATTTAATTAGAGAAACAAGTGATTAAGATGTTAAGCTAGAGAGAATGTGAGAATAGATTTTAAAAGGAGAGTAAGGGTCTCAGTTCAAGAAAGAGGAGATTGTGGCCTGGACTAGGATGGTATTAAAAGATAAACT